AGCGAGAGAGAAGAAAGAAAGGGGAAGACAGGTGGGGGAAGGGGAGAGAGAGAAACAAAGGGGGAGACAGGGGTGGGGAAAGGGAAGACAAACAAAGGGACAAGGGAAGGGCAGAGAGAATCAAAAGGAAACAAAGGGACAAGGGATAGGCAGAGAGAATGCAAGGGAAACAAAGACAGGAGGATGAGAAAGGAGTAACATAATAATCAATAATCACAAATAAACTGGAAAAACACGGGGGAGGGGGAATACAAAGAAACAACAGGAGAGAGGAATAGAGAAAGAAAGGGTAACAAATAAAATTCACTAAAGGAACATCACAAATAAAACTGGTTACATAGAGGGGAAGGAGAAAAAGGGGAAAGAGAAAATTCCAACATAAACTACGCTGGTACTAATGTTCACAGGATAGCGATGGACAAAAGAGCTTCTTTGCTTCTACCCATTCCTGTAAACAACAACATTGTACCAGCCTAGTCCATTTATGCTTTCATTCTAACTCTAAGTGCACACTGAGAAATAAGAGGCAGTAAATAGAAAGTAAAGACTTCAAATAAAAGTCAATTCCACAAAACTAGTCACAACTTTTCAATAGCCGGATAAACTTCTCAACATTCAAAATCCCTTAGGACATAGTAATGTGAAATTGACTCTAAAGTTTAGAGAAGTTGAATAAAGAAACACACACAAACTTCAACATGAACTACGCTGGTACTAAGTAATGTTCACAGGAATGTCCAAAATTCTTCTTTCAACTTCCTTCTTTCAAAATGTACTTTCATATAACAGGACAAAATGGCTTCTCTACTTATACCTATTCCTGTGAACATATTACTTATTATGTACCAGCCTAGTCCATTGACTTTTTGTTTTCTTTTTTCTTCTCTTCAGATACATTCATAAAACATGTGCAATACAATACATCAGATAGTTTTACATACAGTTTCAGCGTGCAATATCTACATCAGTATAGAACGGTAATACATCCAGTTACACAATAGTCAATACTATCAATCGTCTACAAAAAAACAAGCGCAATGACATGTCACAAAAAGATACAATGGTTATACAGTACAACTTTTGACAGAACCATGCGA